TGACTGCCAAGTATTAAAAGTGTTGATGATATCATTTATTACTTGATGAGCAGTAAAGGGCTTTGATTTACTAGAATTTAGAACTATCTTATTTGGTGTGTAAATTAACACTTCGAACAGCACATTGAATGCAGCTAAACTCTTGAATGCAGGGTAAAAATGAGTGACGCTTGAATGGGAAGTAGTGATAAACAGTTTTGACTATTTATTCATCACAAAGATTTATTAAGAATCTCAAAATTGTTTTTCTTTTTCCCTGTAGAGCCATCAGTGAAAACAATTAGATACTCAGTTCCACTAGTAACTTGAGTTTTCAAGCAATGTAATATAATATGTTGTAATGTAACAATGTGTATGCATTATGGAGCTAACCTTCTCTGATGGTTTATTGGCTTTACCTTCGTGGTGAATGTACATTTGAACTTATTTTGCTTTTATGTTAGGTACACAAAATATATTTAACAACAGCTGGGCATATAAAACACTTCCTGTACAGGTATTTTTAGAAGTGGTAAATTTTGCATGTAGTCAAAACAAACCATTTCTGTATTTTTATCACTTTTCGTGAACCATCTTCTTTGATTTTATACAAAATTTCTTGGTTCTTTGGGCTTGTGTATCATTTGTTCAGCACCTAAACTGTAATTTTTAAATCAAAACTTTTAGTTTTGATTTAAAAATTCTTACCCTCACTGAAAATATCTTTTAGTAGTTGCCCAAATGATAAACTGAAATTTTTCTTGAAGCATCTATAGTAAAAACTATATTAAATTTTATCTTTTAACTTAGAGTGATCAATTTGAAACATTACAAACATTTTGGAAAATATTTAAACCTAATCTAAATAGTTTTTTATTCTAACAACATGTTTTTTTTGTTTAAAATTTTCAAATTTCATAGATCAGCATTCATATATAGCCATCATTTGCATTTCTACTAAGAGTTTTGCCTCTTATATTGACAGGTGTTTGTGTTCACAGTTATAGGCTGCATAACCTTGCAACTCCATTTTGAGAAATACAATGTTTTTGTAAAAAAAAAAAAAAAAACATTTTTGCATAGCTGATGAAACTTTTTATTGATTTTTAGATTTTAATGTTTATTTTTTGTTTATTTGTGGGGTTTTTCTGTTATCTACACCTAACAATCCTACCTTCTGTTAATGTTTACAAATGTAAATCTTGTTCATTTTTAGTTTTAAACAGATCAAAACTATTTCAGATTGCATTTTTTATTTCATTATCAACATGAAAAACGTAATTTTGCGGGCAGTTGCTCACAAGTTAATCATAGATAGATGCTGTTCAACAAAGTTAGATAGTTCAACAAGCAACCGAAGTTTATCATACTATCTATCTTAGATAGTTGATGACTTTTGCCAGGAGTAAAAAAGCAAGGGTAAAACGGTAAACAATACACAAATTACAAAAGTAACCTTCAAGGTTACTTTTGTAGTTTAACTACAGGTAATACCTTTGTAGTTTGTGTACTCTTATGGTTACCTTGTTTATGGTAAATTTATCTATGATGATTAGAAAGTTATATGAAAAGCAAGAGTATTGTTTTTCTAATGACATTATGTTTATACATATCTTCATTTGCAATACCTTTTTCGTTTTGTTTTACGTCTATCAACAAAACTATTTACACAGTGCATTTTTTAAACCAAATATTAAAAAAATACTAAATTAAAAAATTGTTGAAAATCACGTCTTCAAGCAATTAGAGTTTCGTATTTGAAATAATAACTAATATGATAATGACTAATACGTTTGCTCAGAAGCACGTTTTATAATCCGCTAGAAAGGGATTAACCTTTGTGAGTGTAAGATTTGTAAATAAGAAGATTAGCAGTTAAATGGTTATGCAATAAATAAAGCGTTAGTATAAACAGTGAACTATTTAGTGCTTAGCGTAGTTAAGGAGAGATCCGAAAAATTTGCATTTCTTAAAAACTAAAATTTGCGTTTTTTCGCTTCAACTTTTTGTGTGTTTTGTTTATTTTCAACTATTACTATTATATATTTTTAAAAAGTAGAATTTAAGCTTTTTTATAAATCCTTTTTCAATCAAAGTATAAAAAAAATAAAACTACCACTAAAATACATATAACGCGACAAGACAGCGTCAAGAAAACAGGTGAAACAAATGTGTTAAGTGTTTACATTCCAAAAATATCTCAAAAGAAAAGGTTTCGGCTTTTATATAGCTGCTGTTTCAAAGTAATTAGTTATAATTTTATACTCGTAGATTTTAAAACGAATATTTAAAAACAAAACAAAGAGCTTTGTAATTTTTTTAAAAAAATAAACCAATCAAAACGTGGATAAAATAAAACGACATTTTTTAAAAGCGAAAGGGCCTAAACGCTATATTTTTCATCGCGGACAAAAAGTACTAAACAATAATGACGCTACCCAGCCGGCACAAACACGTGTTTTAGACGTTTTTTTTTCGCATCAAAATGTTAACATTTTTAAATGTCTAAATTTAGATAAAT